TAGGAGTTGCTTGTTCCGCGCGAAACTACTAGAAACCACCAAACGCATGCGCGCCAAGTCAAGAATTATCTGATGTTAAAGCCACATAAACTGAACTCGATAGAGACGGGCTATATGCAGGCGATTTAAGTGTTCATATTGCGTTATTAAAAAAAGGTGTTCATATTGCTAACGGCAAAAAGATTTAAATGCCTATATTTTGACCCAGAAGCGTTTGCATGCGTCGTAGGCGTGGTCAGCTGTCAATCAAGATGTGGGAAAACGCAACTGCATTCTGTTCGGATGGTGTGGATAATCTCAAAGGATTACACTTGAAAAACCTTTGTAAAAACCTATTGTTTTTAAGACTAAATGTTGTGTATCGATAGCATTATAGTGTGAACACCGATCGAAAGATGGTACTTTTATCCTCGGCCGACGTGCGGATTTTTCATCTATTTGATGTTTGTATAAATTCACTATAATTTGAAAATCTATAAACCAAACCTTTTAGAATGATAACATTGGAAAACAGGCACRTTTTAAATCAAGTGGGAGCATTTTAGATTGATACGTGCTTTTGTGTTTTATTTTTCTTTCTGGAAACATAGCCAAGAGGGTTCTAAGATCATTTTCTCTTGGCGTAGCTTGACGCATGTAGATTTTTCTGTTCCCACTCGTTCAAWTGTAACCATCTTTATACAAGAAAATGTGAAATTCRCACAAATTCACGCAGAAATAGTTGTATTACATGTAAAATTAGCAGGAAAAGGTAATGGGAAAATTTGACACCATTGCCTTAATGGACATAATTCTAAGCACTATACACTTAACGCATTCGCAACACCGGCGATGATGAAGCTGAAATTATGCAACAACAAAAGTTGAGTTTTTTTTTTCCTCGTTAATGTTATTATCTACACCTGGCTCAGCTATTTACTCTTACAGTTCTAGATAATAATACTGCTTAAGAATAACATGATATGTTCAAAAGATGAATTATCAGTTCACATATTATAATAATTGMGACTTATCTGAAAGTAAAAGTGATTTTTGCCAAGGTTAGGTAACATGGCGTCTGGTTTTTGTTTTCGCGTTGAGGTGCGAAACGAAACGTGCTTTTCAGCTGCTTTTTCACTGATTCTGTTTACTTAGCTTTTAACTATAAAGGAAAAATTTRAAAGCTATCTTCTTACAGCTCAACTATTTGGTAAAAAACCTTTCTAGTGATATAAAATAGTTTGAAACGTTCTGCTCTTATATACGTAACTTTACTATAAGGTTTCCAATGATCGTACGGACTTCGTATCAAAGTATCTTAATATGAACAATAAAGTTTAAAAAAGCACCTACACGTTTGAAATTTGAAACTTTTTTATGTTTAATTGAATATCCTTCTCGCTTTTTAAAGGAGAAAAGTAGGTTTGAACAAAGCATCTCTTCCGAGTTTGTTTCGTACCACTATTCGCTTTCAGTTGAGGATCTCTTTGGATAACAAAAGCAAAACTCATTTTCAATGTTAAGATTAAAAAGCTCATGACAGGAAGCAAATAGATTAAATGGTATTGTTAGGCAATATAATGTTTCTCTTCTGCTCCAGGATCTATAAAACGTGTTTTATGGAAGAGAGTTATTGCTGTAGTTCGATGTTTAAAGGAAAAATACAAAACATTCTGGATAAAACCCAGTCCCATAACGTTTCACCAAAACATTCCCTCATTGTTTTGTTTGTTTACAATTTACTTCCCTTATAAATGATCACTTCATTGGAAAAGGCTTAAATCACAAGGACTACTTTGCAGTATTTTTTGTGTTAACATAAGAGCTGTATTTTAAAGACTGCAATCTCCAAGTTTTTTCCCAACAATTCTAGTATATCTGAATTTGTTTTTCACCGATCAAATGTATTTTAGAATCAGTATGTCGTTTACGTTCAAAATGAACCGTTTTTCGTAATCTGTATCAATAAACATAAGATTATCRATGAATTTGAAAATGGTGGCTTCAAATTAAGTAAGAATGGTATATCGAGGGAACTTGGTACCAGTAAGTGTCAATTACCAGCCTGCTACACTCTATTAACCATTAGCTGTATAATTCAATAATGTTTCATATCATACTCAGCTTCAACCARTAATATTTCATATCATACTCAGACTCAACCAACAATACTTCATATCATACTCAAGCTCAGCTAACAAAGTTTCATGTCGTACTTAGCTTCATCCAATAATGCTTCATATCATACTTAGCCTGGTCAATAATGTTTCATATTATACACAGTCACAGCCAACAATGTTTCATATCATACTCAAGCTCAGCTAACAAAGTTTCATGTCGTACTTAGCTTCATCCAATAATGCTTCATATCATACTTAGCCTGGTCAATAATGTTTCATATTATACACAGTCACAGCCAACAATGTTTCATATCAT